AGGGAGAGACACAGCTCCCACACCACAGCCTGTAAATCTACCACATTGTGCAGAACACATAACCCCCTTGGTCTCCCTCACCCTGCCTTTCCACTACTATTTCTTGGTTTATAAAAGTTATTTTTGGTCAGCCAGGCACATCTTTGCAGAAGGCATAGTAAATATAAGATTTATACAGTTATGTGTCATCTTAAATCCACTCAACTCCCCAGGTAAAAAAACAGGATCACAGCAGTGAACATTTTAATAAACAAGCAAAGACATTGTACAAAAAAAGGAGAACAGAAAGAAAAAAGATGTTACAGTTCAATGCCTCCTATCTAGGCTGGAGAAATGAGGCTGAGGCTTGCATTCATGTTCCCATTCTGGAGTATTTACTGGCAGTGTTTGGTCCCGAATTAGAGCTGTAGGTGATCAGCTCTAATTCATTGTTTCACTCTCTGATTTTGAAGCAATCAGGAACTTGTGAAACCAGCTGACTTAGCAGGATTTGAAGGCTAAAATCTGATTAAATAAGGTTGCTGGATATTACCCACGGTCAAATCACTGGTTCATCTTTTCAGTGTATCTTTAGGAACGTATGATTGCCTGAGATATCTGCTGAGAGAGAGATTCTTTTATGTGTAAGAATTAGCTGGCACTGTTATTGCTAGTATCTGGCAGAGTTTCACTTTCTGCTATGATCTGTGCTTCTAAATTAAATTTGGTGTGGTGCTAGCAGCTTGGGATAAGCACCAATTATAAGTTTTGATTAAAAAATTTCAAACTATAGATCTAAACTTGTCTGCATTACTAGCTAAAGATTTATTCCAAAGTTTATCTACACCCACAATATACCTCAGCCCTAGAAAATTCCTTTTTACATCATCACTTTGCAAATCTAGATACTCTTCAGATGCTTAAATTTTAACATCTGCTAAATACGGTTAGCATCACTGTCAAATTGGAAGGAGTCTTCAGTGACTGGGTCCAAGTCTGCAATCATCAACTGTCTAATTTGGTAATGGCAACTTCAGCAGAAGCAGAATCAAGACAGATAATTTCTTCCCTATCAAATTTATGTATGTTGTAACGTAATGAAAACCTTCCCCAAGGAGATTTCCTTTGCTGTGCATAGCACATGATATCAGTTGAACACTTTTCTTACTCCTTTTTGTATCTTATCTGCTGATATTAAAGTGTCCTTGAAAAATATCCTGGCTTATATAGGTGCAAGATGCTTTAAAGGTCTTTCACTACCTTGTAAAATGTAAATATATGTTTAATCTTAATTGTTGTAAATACTATAGCAATCTTCCTTCCTCCACCAGGTATTTTGCTATAAAAATGCATTCTACCAGGAAAACAATATAAGCTAAACTAAATTTTTTCATTTAAATACTCAAAATCCAGATATAGCTCAAAAATATTCCAATTCCTTATTGGTGTTTAGGAAGTCAGTATTTAGAGATTAGGCTTATGCTGGAAACTGCAGCTCTCTGGTAGAGGAGGTAAATTCCAATAGGAAAAAAAAACCCTAAGCTTTTCTGCAAGGTGGGGTTACTTCTGAAATCTGTGGGGGCATCAATTTTCCACTCTCAGGTCAAACTGTAGTCAACACTGAATGTCAGCCCATGCAAGCACATACCAGTAATGACAGTGTGGCTCAGCCAGCAGCGCTCTTACCTCTTGGCTAGAAGGTCACAAGTTTAAGTCTCCCACCAGGACTTGGGCTGATTCTTAATGCTGACATGGCAGTGCAGCACCGGGGAAGTGTTGAACTGTTTGAGGTGCCGTCCTTCATGAGACGAGATGTTAATCCAAAATCCCTTTCTCCTGTCCCTGCTGCCTGTCTAGGCAATATTGGCGTGGCACTTTTGTAAAAAGAGGCTGGCTAAGCCTCCTTCCCAGCCAAAACTGGCTGTCACACGCCAGGCTTGGCCGTCCAAGGCAGAGCACAGGCCATTGTGTTGCTGCACCACCATTACTGTATTTAGTTAAGTACAATGGAAACATTGTTAAGCATTTTAGGCTACACAGGATATGAAGGGCCTAATGCAAAAGCCAAAATCTAACGCAGTTTTCTAAATTCTATTGTTTATCATGTCTCTGTACACAGGCACACAAACACATTATATGTATATTTAGAAAGTGGGGCTCTGTTAAAAATTATATTCAGCTTGCACCCATTCCATTTATATTATGTTGAGCAATTATATTCCTTCCCTCAAACTGATTTTTTACCATTTTGAAATAAGAACTCTGCATTTAATATCACACATTCTTTATTAAAGAACCATATTGTTTAGCTTGTCATGATACAGAGTTGCTTTTCCATAAGTACATTAAGTGTGGGTACTCAGGGGATATTTTCTTCAAAGCAAGTGGAAATTCTGGGAAGAAACGTGTTATAACAACTGTCTATGGTTAAGAATGAGAAATTGTAGAAAGCTTGGATGTTCCCTGAGGAATAGGGTGCTATATGTAGCATTGTGGAAATGCCATCTGAGGACGGTTATGAAGTAAAACACTGCATGCTCCAATTTATTTAATTTCATTTTATCTTATTTTACTTTATTTCCCCTGACACATTGGGCTAGAACTAGAGTGTTAAGTGTTCATTTTATTTACAGTATAACGCTATTACAGTACAACATGTGTATGTGACCTAAACCTCAAGAATTACATATAAAGAATTAATATGGAAAAGGTTATTAGGTGGGTACAAGTTTGGAAGCATATCATAATAATGTAAGAATTTTCCTCCCCCTCAAATTAGAAGCTCTATGATCTTCTGAAATGAAAGTATCTATTTGAAAAAAAAAGTTCAGGGAGTAAAACTTCAAACTAATGGAATCTCCCCTCTTTTTTTAACCCCCTTTGCATAATATAAAGTCCTTATACTCTTTTTGCAGCAGTCCTGCTGGCTTTCTGTTGCTTGATATTCTGACCATTTTTGAACCCTTGAACTCTGACAGAGAGGAGGGACTTGGAGAGGTTGTCATCTGATCTATGTAAGAAGGCAAAAGGAATAGCTTTCTCTTTAATAGCACTCTTTTCTGCTTAACAGTTGGTGGGAGATTAAAATGATCTAGGTGGATAAGGCAGGTTAAAGGTCAAGGGACACCATAACTCCCCCTCTTCCCCACATGTCAAAATATAGACAGTTCATTAGAAGTTAAAATTTTGTGCCCCTTTCCAAAATATTTCAGTTTATAGATTATAATTTCTATTATTTATGCACTCATTTTTATTGTAAATTCCAATTCTTGAGGGGGACTGGACCCCTACTAGGCTACTGTCCAGCCTGTATAGTCATCAGGTGCTGACATTCTGAGTTTCAGCCATATTAATTGCTGGATAAAGGCTATAATCCTCTCTCTTTGAAGCCCAAGACTGATTTTTAGGCAGTACTTCAAAAGCAGCACACAACTGAAGAGGCATATTTCCTACTAGCACTGAATCAACATGATTTACTCTGTTTGCATTCGTCTACATACGCCGTGCATATTTGGCTGCACAACAAAAAGGTGTGAGTTGGCTGTAATGTAGTCTAAGGAGAGGTTTTTACTCTCCTGAAGTTGATGCATAACCTCATCTGAGACATACCGTTCCAGATCTTTGCTTTAAGCATCATTAGGAAAGTATAAACTCCTATATCATGCTTTTGTTACCAATGAAAAATCTTGCCTTACGTTGCTAGAATTTCTTTCCCCCTGCAACATCATATTAAAACTATAATTTAGAGTGAGGCTGTTTCTTAAGCTGTGAATAAATAAGGCCTGTGTTTTGTAAAAGCAAACCTTTTTGGAAACATGGATTTTAATATCTTAAATACTGCAGCTTCTTAATTAAATGAAGCTGTGATCCAGCAGCAAATATCCATTATTAAGAATAAATAAACATATTGTTTAGCTTGTTTTCGGGAAAAGAAAATGGGTGAAGAGGCCTTTGAATTGTAAACAAATCTGTAGCAATTGCAAAGCTCATGGCTGAGTGTGGTGTGTTCCTCTCTCGTGGCTGTGTCCCTTTTTGTGGCGGGCTGCGCTTGGCTCCTGGCTGGCTGTCCGCAGAGCCGCACTACGGGGACTTTCTCATCCAGGATTTGCCAAGTATACTTAGTGTTATGTTTGAGAAAGATTAACAATATTTCAGATCAAAGGAGAATCCTGCTGCACGGTCTTACAAGATTGTCATTCACTTCCATTATGGCTCATTTGCACAAGATTTTCATGTAATGTGCGCCATTGTTTTGATGGCAGTGATTTGACATAAAGACAGGGCCAAAATGCATCTCGGAGCCCCACTCCACCGGGCTGGGGGTAGCTGGGGCGCAAAGAACTTGCCAATCATAAAATGCAACTTTGTCTCGGTTATATTAAAGCCTTTATCAGGTGGGGAACTTTTCAATGAGCGTGGATTCAAGGAGAAAAACTATCAATGGCTGGTTTTTATTAGAATGTAGTCGCTGTTTTAACCAGGTAAAGTTTTGGTTCATGGGGAATACAAACCTAATGCAAAGAGCAGTTTTGATCAGCCACAGATTCTGATGGATTTTTGTTTCTTTGAAATGTGGAATTTGTTTTGCAAATGTTGGAGACCCCCACAGCAGGAGTGATGCATGAGAAATTTATTTCTCCCAAAATTTATTGTTTAACCTAGTAGCTTCATTTTAAAAATCAGATTTCCCAGGTGGATGCTTTCAGACACTTTAGAATGCAGATGCATTAGACTGTAGTGCAATACAGGAGTCAATAAAATTTATTAGAGAAGAAAAGTAAAGTATATCACATAATCTTCTTCAATTCTTTTCTTTCAAGTAATAACTTTTTAGGTAAGGTCAGATTTTATGGGTAAATAAATGTTGAACTTAATAAAATTGCTTGAGCAGTTCAGTTTGATTTAAAGTCACAACCTGGAACTGGACAAAGCCTGTTGCTTTGGCTTTAATACACCCTGTTGAGCTTAGGTAGCACAGGAAATTCAGTACAGGAGCTGATCCAGGATGTCTGATGCCTGAATCTGTAATTCCCACTGAGGTCGAACTTCCAGTAACTCCAGAAAAGGACTGCAGGATGACCTTCCTTTCCTGTCCAGCCAAATGCCTTAGCTATAATTATTCGAGTTTAAACCAAAATTTCAGCTATAACTGTAAGTTTCCTGGCTTTCTGTGCATCTAAATTGTCATTAATTTTTTACCTGTTTTTTCCATTCTTTTTTAAAGGCATGGTAGTTTTGTTCTATCAGTGGGGGGAAAAGAGAAAATGTGAATGCATGAGAAAATGTAGTACGTTGTACAGGGATTTAGAAAACAATTTACTTCAAAGAACTAATGATATTTTTAAAGCTGTTAGTTATGTTTATGGAGGTATAATGCTAAGAAATGCATATGCAAAACTCAAAAGAAAAGTTATTGTGCAGAGGATTATTTCAAGATATAAATAGTATATTCTCATGGTTTTTGTGGGAATAAGTAGTTAATAATTTGTTATGGGCAAAGCACCTGAAACAACTAGGTATGAACTGCAAAGAATATTTCAGAAAGAAAGAAATGTTGAAGAATGGCACTGAAGTGATGTGTTTCAAATTGTTTTCACACTTTGCATTGCAAGTTACACTTAAACACATCTGGTGTGCTTTTAAAATGAAAATAACTGAAATATCCTTATATGAAAATGTGTGATGGAAGGAACCTTGTGGCTGGGTTATGAAATCTTGGTAAATGGACTGTAAAGTGGAAACAGTGAAAAACATTTCACTTTTGTGACGATAGCTGGCATCTCCCTTCTAGACTGCTACGAAAAGAATTTATTTAAGGAAATTCATCACATACTGTGGAAGGTAGCATCTATATGTCAGCAATTCCACTGACATTTTATGGAAAGCTTAAAAATACAAACATTAAACTGGTGGATCCCTGTTTCTCTCCCTGCTCAGGAAATGCTTGCAGAATACACGAACAACAGCGCCCTCTGCACCTGAAACCCCTCCGGTTATTAAACCCAGACGTTCCTACGTGCTGGAGGAGCCTTTAATTTCAATTACTGCTTTTTTCAGCGGCTGGTAGGTATATCTGGGCAGCGGGGGAGGGGTGAGAACATTCATCTGTATTTTTAAGTGCAATGTAACTTTATAATATTACCTGAGAGCTTCAGCACCCTTAGGTACAAAATTTACAGCAATACATAATTTAAAGTTACGTAGAAAAAAACCAAGCGCAAAATAGCAGCAGAGATGTTGCACTTTTGCATTCCCTACAGCATAATTTAGATCCCTAGTGCTGCACTTTTGCATTCTCTACAGCATAATTTAGTTCCCCAGTGTGTCATTAACAGTGAAGTACATCACAGTCTGGAGTTTTGTTTTAGTGCAGGCTGCCTGTGTTGTTTTAATAATTTTTGAGTCTTCAGATATTAGATAGAGAATCAGAATTATCTGTTTCTTGTAGTGCTAAAAGACTTGTTCTGAGGAGTTTCCAGAATCCAGTAGTAAAGCCAGAGACTATATGACAGGATTTCAGGACTTGTTAGATATAATGATGCATTTTAAATTGGAAAACTAGCTGTTTTTGAAGATTCAAAATAGAATGATGCAAGGAAGTAATTATTACCAAAATGTATTAATTTGAAACAAGTATTTTATGTTCCTACAGTAATACATGGAAGAAAAAGGTCCTGTGTGAAAAGTTCTTGCATAATGTTTCTTGATGATCAAAAAGAACAAAAATGAATTTCTATGTGCTATTTATATAAGCAATTAGGACAGCTGAGATGCTAATTAAGCCCATAATATACTTTGCTTATTTAATATACTTTGCTTATTTCTATAAAAGGCATCAGATGAGCTGTCCAAAAAACTCACAGCAGAAACATAATATTTCTCTTAAATTAAAGCAGCAGTTTTTAGATACTTTCCACCACAATTTATTTCTTCAAACCAGAGGCAGTGAAATATCAGAATTACATATATATATTATATATATCCATGAAGTATAGGAAGGTATCAGGATACTTCAAATTTTTAAAAAATAGATTATCTTTTTTTCGCAGCTTTTCCCTGGGAGTAATTTAATACTTTGCTTTTTCTCATTCCTTCCTTAGTCAAAAATTCCTTATCTTTAATATGAAAGAAAGTCCTAATCACGAATTTTGTGCCTGATGAGTTTTAGAAATGCTCAGGGTTATTTCTGCATGGATTACAGTTTATGGATTTAAAGAAAAAAATGTGTGGATTGTATGGAAACTATTATAAAGGACTCTTTTTATAAAATAAAGTATCAAAGTTAACACCAAAGAGTGGTACTCTCTTGCTTTAATAGAATGAAAGTAGATCTACATCTGCAACTTAATATTAACGTGACAAAATTTGTTTTTAAAATTTACTCATTTAAGAAAGGCAAACTGTCTTTGTCACAGCAATTAAGAAGCAGAAAAGCAGAAAGCCTAAAATCATATTGCTTCTGCATATGAAACAAATACTTTCTAAGAAAATTCAAAGACATATCTGAATGCTAATGTAAGCTTAGATTATTGATGTGAAAAGGATTTAACAATCAGAAAACAATAGTTCTTTGTTACATTTCTACTTTTAAGCAATTTAAGATGCTGCTTGGAAAGATATGAAGTCTCACGAAATTTTCAAAGACAAAGCACTAATGGCTCTTAATATCACTGTGTTCATTTTAAGAGCAAATTAAAAAAGAACAGTGCAAATAATTGTTTCATATGTTCTTTGCTTGTGACTGCTGTAATCATCCGGGCTGATTTACAAATGTAGACTTGAAGGTTTCTCAGCTTCCTGCAGTGTAGAAGACTGTTACTTTGGCACTCACACTCATGCCCTTGTAATCACCACTCAAAACTGTGCCCTGGTACTTCCAATTCCCAGTGTCTTGATTGAACACCTCATTCTGTGCTAACAAGGTGTCCAAGGTATTTGAACAGGGGATGCAGTCAGAAAATTGTTAATGGTTTCACTCATTAAGAGTTGCTGCACTAGTTTTGGTAATTTGGTAACTGTCTAAATTGCAAGTTGATTTTTTTCCTTCATTTTAAATAATGATGCTAAAATTTGAGACCAGGAACACTAACAGCTAAAAAACCCCAGAAGAGTGCTTAAATCACTGTATTTGTATTAAAGCAAAGGGTTTTCATAGCAGAAAAGGTATGATTTTATTTTTGAGGTTATGTTTTAAAATTATTGAGAAATGCACAAACAAGAATTAAATAGAAATATAAGAACAGAAAATGTTTAAAAAGGGAACAATAAAGTATAAACCAGCCTGAAGATCTTAAAGAAATTATTTAGGAAGCAAGCTAATATTAAAATTACAAACAAAAAAGTAAGAAAGAATTTGCCTTGGTTTGGATGCACATTTTTGGTAATTGGGGTGGAATTCTTTAAACCAAAAGGTTTAAAGAATTAAAAAAATAGCTTCAGGAAACTGTACTTTGTGTACCTGAAAAAGGCCTTAGGAGTCTTTAATATTTTTTTGCTGTATTGCAAGCTAAGCAGAAAGTAAGCAAAGATCAATGGGCCTGATCCTGCAATCCATATTTAGATAAGAACCTTTTTCTTTTTCCTATCTTGCCGAGAGCAGCATTTAGAAAGAGATGTATTTTCTGGAAAAAAAAAAAGCAATAAAGTATTATTAAAATTCATTAAACAAATGATGTGAAAGAGATTTTACTGTTTGCATCCTTGCTGTCATCTGGGATCAGTAAGTTACTTTCTTGAAGTAGGAATATTAAAGCAGGGAGTAGGTTCCGTTTTCAGACAATATTTTACACCTGAAGAAAATTTTACCTGTGGAGATTTAATATTTGAAGTGGAAATAAAACTTTTCTCAAAAAAAACCAAAATCATAGTTTGCAGCTTTTTATGTACCAAAAGTTTAAGCCACCCCTAAAAACTTGCAATCTATTCCTTTAAAAACAGGATTAAAATTCAGTGAGTTGGCCTCAGCTGCATCTTTTGACCAGGTTTTGTGGTTTTTCAATTACATATATATATATATATATCTTTACAAATAATCTCTCTGTGGCTGTGAAAGTTGCACACACAAACGAAGGGAAACGAAAGGAACCGCTAACACTGGCCACACAGAAAGCTCTGTCAAAAGCACACTATAAACAAACTGAGGAGATATTTTTTTTCCCCGTTGTTTTTCTTCCATTAATTTCAAATATTCTTTGTAACTTTAGAAAGCAAACTACTTTCCAGCACAAGTGTGGATAATATCTTTGTGGTAGGTGGTTTGAGCTTGTTCTGTGCGGAACAAGTATACACTTTAATAAAAATCATACCGGAAAACGTAAAAATAATATTGTAAATATTCTGCCAGATCTGAAATATGATATGATTTGCCCTTCCCAGGAATATTCTAACCAGCAGGCAATACTCATCTGATTTTGTTTGAGCAGAATCTCTCATAAAGCTCCTTTAACCACTGCTCTTTTATAAAGTTATGCTGCCCACATCATTTGTCTCTCAGCTGGCTGGGATATCTCTCCAAGGTACACAGCTCTTGCTCACGATGGAAAAAAAGATAGCAAGTGAAGGAGCAGAATGAAAGCGGTGTTTACAACGCTGCCACAGTTTGCTGAGATGTGCTGTGAGCAAACAAGTAAATGTGATCTGTTGAACAGAACATACAGCTCGAACATTAGAGAAGTGCAACACGTCTCCGAGTTTTACTTTAATTCCTATCTTTATTTTGATTCATGCTTCTAAAAATTTTTGGCATTTCTATTTATTTAATAATGGGAATTATACTGCGGTCTAAAAGACAAACAGTCTATTAATATACCAATGTATCAGTTCTTTTCTGTCTGTCTATTTTGCTCTTTGATTACAGCTGCAGTGGGTGTGGATAAATAAATATATTTTAGAAGAAAATATTTTTGAATTTTGTTGTATGATCCATGTATTTCTGAGCTAGACAGTGGAGGGGTTTTTCCTTTTAGTAGTTAGGTCATTCCTCTGGAGCTGATTGTGAAGATAAAATCCTATCTGTATAAATTGAAAACTTGTCTTTTTGAGCTGGAAGTTGAATACAGACCGTGACTTTTGCATGGAAAAATTACAGAAATAATGGCCCCTGGCTGTGGAGGCATTTTTTTGTTTTTCATGAATCAGGCACAAAGTTATTTAAATTAATTCTGGTCTCATCTCCCTAATAGAATATCATTACTGATCTTTAGAAAAAATATTAGAAATCAGCAGTGTGTGGATGCAATAGCTGTTTGATCAATTTCCCCAAACAATTTTTTCTTTATTGAAAAGCAAGAATACTGATGACAATAGTCACTCATGATGCACATGCTTCATGCATTTCACACATTATCTTTTTATGTCAATTGCATGGCTCAAAAGTACTAACTACTCTATTGCTTCATGATCAATAGGGGCTAATTTATTTACTGTCTTTTGAAAGCAGTCATTAAAGAAAAAAATCAGAAGAAGAAACTTTGTTAATATTTTCATGTAATTAAAAAATATATGACAAAACAGAAATTTTACTATCCAGGCTTAGTCTGTGGCTATGCACACCTAAGGTGTTCTGCTCTTCTGACTGGATCCACTACTACTCATACTCAGGTATGACTACATGGACTGCAAGAGAACAGATTTAATTTCTCTGTGACTGCTGCCTAACAGAATGCAGGATATCAGGTACCACAGCTACAGCCAATTAAGTGCTCATACTTCCTTCCTTAAATGTGAATATTTTGTTATTTTTTCCCTTCGCCCTTCTGACACCGATACCTCTGTACTAAGGCTCCTGTACTTCAGCACTTCCTGTTTCAAATGTGTGAAATATCCCTGAAATGGGAGCCCTTCCCCTGAGTGTTCTGGGTTGGTCCCTTTGCCAAGGGATGAGGAAGCCTGAGGTGGTGTGATCCATCCCAGATCTGGCACGCTCTCCAGTGGACCCTTTCTGCCTGGTAGTTACTGAGCATGGACTTCCTACATAGCTCCTCTGCTCCTTGACTAGGTGGGAGACAGATTTTGGTGGCCCCAGCTCTATCCTCCCCTGAGAAAAGGCTCTGATCCAAAGTAGG